AACATTAATGCTGCTTCTAACTTGAAATTAAAACCCTTAGGCAATAGTCTTGAAGTGCATATTCATTACTCGTATACTGGGTGACACTAAAATGGCGTTATTAAAAATATGTAAAAATGGACGGCTCTGCACACTTTAATTAAATTAATTTTAAATTCTGTAGAGCATACCTAAGTATGTGTGTGCAAAGAAACCATTTTAAAGGAAATTGTTTGCCTCATCCTATATTTAATTTAGAAGTAAAGTACCAGAATATAAAACTGAAATTAGAGGAACTTACATAGTTTTACATTAATTTAAAATAAATAATTTCTAGAGTATTATATTCTAAGATCCGTGATCACAAATAGTCCTTACGAGGCAAACCTCCTTCACCGATTCTCGATCCGAATGGCGATGAACGTTCAGCTTCGTCTCCTGTGGGCAGGAAGCGTCTAGTGCGCAACGAGTCGAACTTTTCTTGATGTTGTAAGGATATGTATTATAAATCTATCCCTTGGGATCAGTTAACGAAAAGACATTTATGACATTTTATTTTACAGGATAATGCTTTCCATTATCTGTCTTAAGGTTCCCTGTTCTTGTACTCCCTAAAGACAATAGCCAGTCTTCTGCTCCACAAGATAGAACACTCAAATATTGCACAGGTATCAAATTCTTTTATTTCTTTCCACAGCCCCCTATTCTCTCAGTTCGCGTGCAACAATCCTGTTCCTACTTCACGTTGCCCGTTTCTTCTGACGTCCCCCTTGAGCGGATCACTCCTGTCCATTGCAGAACAATAGCATACGATAAATTCATACATTCTCTTTCCATCATGTCGTCATTCCCGTACAGAAGTAATTATTTTTGTTAAATTATATTTCTTGTTTTTGCCTATGAGATAAATCTGTAATGGCAATCAACGTGACCTTACATATACAACAATGTTCACAACGTGTTTGGAATATTCAGCACAATACCTGATACTCATGTAAACGTTGTGTTGTACATGGCAACTCGCGGGATGCTGTGATGTTGAAAGAGACAGAGACAAGAAATTCAGAGACTTCTTCTTGACAAACCAGTTATTGACGGGTTTGTTTCAAAAACCGACACACACACATTTTAACTGTCTTTATAATGGTGGAGTTCAGTACTGTCACCAAGAGCAACTTAGAGTACAGCAGTAACCACAATAATCGACTCACCATATCGATATTCGTTTTATTATGAATCTGAACCACTTAATGTTCCCCATGTAACTACTAGTTTTCATTAGTTTTCAGAAGACGTAATTATCTAATTGAATGCGGCTGAAAATTCAACAAGGTGAACAAACTGGTACGTGATGAATGAAGCAATCTACCCTACATCTCCTGCTTTTTACATTCATATACCAAATATATAACTACAAAAGCTATAGTATTTCTGACATCTGGAACGAATCAAAAACATATCTCGCTGTTGTTTAGAGCTCTATAACGATATGAAGTATCGTGCCCGGTGAGGGCCAGAATCTCTTCGTCCTACAAACAATAATTAAGAACACTCACCGCAGAAAGACGCATATTAGGGCCACGAATTATTAAAAATAACGATTACAATTTCAGATTTGTTTATAACATGTCAGTTTATTATATGTGCATGCCAAGGCAATATCTGAGTTAGAGCTAACTCAAACTAGAGTCGTCTTAAGAAGCGCGTGGTGGCTCGGCTAGTCAAGAAATTCTGTGTCCCATAAGGAACCCTGAGGTTCATTACCGACTTTAAAATACCTCGCCACTGAACCTCCCCTGAATCAGTTAAATACCCCATTTTTTAAGATCAATTTTAACCTAGTAACCTCCCATCAACAAGCTTTCCCTAGTTGTCTCTTTTGTTTGTATTTTCCGAGTAGAATTGTGAACATCTTAATTGTCATACCCCTGCATGATACATTCCCCGCCCATATTCTCCTTACTGATCACCATAATAATGTTAGGTGAAGGGTATGTGTTCTTTCCTTAAACTGAGACACCAGGTTTCACACCCATACAAAATAGGTAAAGTTATATGACCTTTATGTGTAGGAGTAGATGGGAAACAGGAGGATAAAACTGAATGATAACGTCATTCCGCGAATGTAATCTTCTACAAACTTCCTAGCAATAACTTCCTAGTATGCCTATATTACGGTAAAATACTCTTACTGAGTAGGAAACATCCGCTGACGCAGGTATAACAGATAACGGTTGTGTCGTATAAAAATAACTTTTTGATAGCTCGCACACATTTCAATATGGAAGCAGTAGACCGAAACGTTAAAACAAATAACTGACGTCATATATGATACCAAATCAATAAAGGAGACATACCAACATCCTCAGATAGAATTGGAAAAAATACGGCCGGCAAAAAGTTTAGTCCGACCCGAGGTAAAATTCAGTTACTACTAGACTAAAAATAGAACACTTTATTATTGTTTCCTACACAGTACCACAAAGTAATCATAAAATTCAAAATATAGATTTCGATGTAAAATCTAGTTTCTAGATCGCGAATAGGCTACATGTAGGCCTATGTACGTACCAGACCGAAATCCATTTATTAAATCAAGAACTAAATATGTGATGACCGAGTGTCTCATAACCATTAACAGTCTGGATGTTCTGTCCCAGCTAATTATCAATAAAGCAACTCTCGTTCATAAAACATATTCCGGTAGTGCGGATAATTTACCTATTTAACTATTTAAACTATATGACTTTTCTCTGGAGGTACGCGGTTTCTTCGAGACATGCCCATCTAGCCCCGTGCTACAAGCAGCGCCACGAAGTTAGGCTATGCTGCGTGTTCCTGCTCAGCTGCTGATACTGAACACCATCCAGTCATCATTACAGACACGTCACGGATCCCTCTATGAGCCAGTTCTATCCAGTTCACGTCCCATGGACCTATTTCCCATAGATACAGTCTGGCATTGTCTTTAAAAAAGACTTCGTGTCAAAGTGGTCTTTAGTAGAGTCCAAACCACTGTGTTATTTCCTCAGCTCATTTTCTAATTGACCTGTTTCATAACCGAATATTTTCCACATCATTATTTTTAAATACTGTTTCATGTTCTTCCTTCAGGGCAAGGTACCAAGTTTTATAACCGTATAAAACAGACTGAAATACGGTTTAATAAATTAAAAATTTGTTATCTTAAGGAAAGAAGCACATCTCAATTACACACATGCATCTAGTGATGACATTTAGTAAAACAAATGATTCTGGATGAGTTGGGCCTATTTTGATCCGATACCAAGCAAAATTATATTCGCGTGATCACTTAAGGTACGTAGCCCACGTATAACATTTAACTAAAACCAATTAGGCATGTTTAGAAATTAAATATAACAACGGAAGGACAAAATCCTCAGTGCAGAATGTGCTATGAATACGTTATAACACAGGATCGCAGTTGTCAGATATTTTGATGGTTCCAAGTTTAAACTGTGGCCTCCCAATGAGCACGTGTAACTGGAAGCCGCAACTTCATCAAGGCCTTCTGCTTCTCTTGTGCGATCAGCGAGAAGGAAACTCGTGGTGACGGCCTTGCATTCCCAGGTATTACTCGTGTGAATCATCAACCGAAACTGCCACCTAGATCATTCATCACGTATGATCAGAAAATGTAAATAAGTTGAGCGCTCCCTTCTTTCACCACCATGTTCGTGGAATGATGGAGGATTTCCCCATATGTCAGACTCCACTGCAACACACATGAGCTTTGCCAGGGTCACGGTGCCTCGCTGTTGGGAGTTCTATAAAATGACTCGGTAGTGTCTTCTCCTGTTCAGATTGTGGTTATTTGCTCATGGGAGCTCACAGTTGCGAGAAATTGAAAATTACTGACACATTTCGAGCCGGCTTCTGGATCCAGCGTACAGGCAACACGTTGCACAAATACGAACGCATAGCTTTTGCGAATTAACTTAGTTCGAAAGGAAGAAGTTATACGCTACTTCTAATTACACATCTCGTACGAAAACAATTAACTACGCAAGTGAGAAATTACAATATTTGTTTGTTCTGACAAGTGGTGTCTTCGTAGGGTTAAGGAACATTAATTACAAGAGTCTGAAAACAGAGAGCTAAAAATATCAATATCAAAGAGATTGTCAGATTTACGTTTACTGGTGAGTGTATATGTACTTCACATGATGCGTTGTTCTCAAAATAATTACAGTAAAATATCAATACAACCACCGTAAATATTTGCATACGCTTCTCTTCCAGGTTATGTGCTGTGCGGTTTTCGGATTTATACACTAATATTTGTTATTCATCCCACCGACGTATACATAATTCACTACTCGTCATAAATTCCACTGATTAAACAACCCACTTGTCAATCTCCGTTTTGTTCTCTGAAGACTGAACCAGATTTTGTCAGAATTTTTCTTCTTCTACTGAAAACAATCCTACTCCCTCCCTTCACAACATAAATAACGTTATTGAGTGTCAAAATTTATCTGGGGCCGAGTTCGACACCCGACAATGAGCAGAACATCACGAATGGAGAGTGAGTGCGGGCAAACTGAGGTTACTTCACAAAACACCTTCATAGTCTACACATCGAATCGAACTCAGTAGTGAATTAAACAATGCGCTAAACATTAAAAAACTTCACGAAGGCGAGCTGGGGGTTTGCCGTGGCAGGTAGACATTGCCATCCTCCTGAACTGAGGTCGAGGAGGGAATGTGATTGTGTAATGCTAAAAATAATTCGCTACGTAATGTTAAAATTAACGACTTCTACGGTTAATCATACAGTACATTATGCCGCATCCACACCTGCGCATAGGGATTGAGAGGTTATAAAGAATCTTTTGTCGTTGTAATCTCATCAATAATGTTCGTCATTTATTTGGAGTTTAAGCTTTCGTGCAAAGAAAAAAAATGTACGCAAATTAGCCTGTGGTAACAATGTGTATCTACATGAATTCGTTCTTTTAGGGTAATCTCGATGAATGAAGAAGACCTCTATTTTTCAGATGAGGGGCTGCTTGGTGCTGGTCCTGGTGGCGACACTGAACTCCGTAGTTGCGTCATCGGACTACAACTATTCTCGCGTACTGGAACTGTCTCTTCTGTTCTACGAGGCTCAGAGGTCGGGGCAATTACCACCAGATAACAGAATATCCTGGAGGGGCGATTCTGCACTAGGCGATCGCGGACAAAATGGCGAAGACCTCACGGGAGGTTACTATGACGGTAAGTGTTAACACAGTAAGACCGATTTTGAATATTTCAGGAGTTTCCTGGTGTTGTTCTAAAGTGCCTGTCTTAATTAGATCTCATTTCTGTATCACGTTATAGACGTACTCCAAACAATCTATCGGCTGTTTTCAAAATTTAAAAGCTACATTTGATGCAGATACATAATCACTCCGATAAGCAACCTTTTAATTCTTAAAGCGATAATCTCGTGCAGAACGTGTACTGTTCTCTGAACTACATCACTTAACAGGATTCTCTGATACCCCCTCCTGGCAGTTGAACGCAACAATTTATAGCTTTTGAGAGTTATTACCAATAAATTCTACATACAAAGTAGGTTTTATTTCGCAGACATAGCATGTAAATGGATATATATGTAACTCATTCGCCAAAGCGATAACAAAATTGAATATTTTAACATATCAGTAAGATAAACGTGGCAACCGTCTCATACAGCTTCATAATGAATGCGACCAAGCAGGAAACTGCAATTCACTGCTTGGCAAGGTGCTTCATTTTCGTTATACAGAAGCCACGAAGTCACCAAGTTCTCAGTGGTGCAGCTTTACTGCCGGCGTCATAGCAACGGGGCAAGTGTGTTGGAAGAGCTGTTCTAATTACGCTGCAAGGGGCAGTCATGATGGAGACGTCTGTGTAACTTATTGATCAGCGAAGTAGAATGGCAGCTTAAGGCCTCCCATACACACACAGTTTGGCCTCCCGTTCGGCCTGCACAGTTGAAGACTGAAAGGCAAAACTCATGTGTGTGGTGCGGCCGGCCGGCCAATCTGTTGGACTGTTGGAAATCCATCAGTTCTGCCTACAGGACGTAGCACGTGACAGGCGGAACGCACGTGTGTGACGATACCTGCAGGCCAATCGCTCAGTTCTGCTACTGTCTCGCGTTCTTCTGTACTGAGGACAAATTTGACCTCTTTGCAAAAAATGTCGCTGCCAAATTACGAGCATTAGGAAATAATGAACAAAGGATTTATGCAGAGAAATTAATAAATGACGCCCTTTTTGAAGCAGAGCTTGGTCCATAACTTGCGTTTTTATTATTATTATTTTTTTTTTAAATTTAATTTAATTTTATTTTTATTTTTTTGCAATACACACGCGATAGCTGCATATGCAAACAGTTCATCAACTGTAGACATGTTTTAACAACTAAACATGACTGCACTGCACTCGGCGACATAGGCTGGAAGACTGTGACTGTGGCATGCAGCCTGCCGGTTTATCTGCGCGTGTATGGGGAAGGAAAGGGAGAGGGCAAACTGTAACAGTTTTGCCTGTAAGGTCGATCGGAAGGCCAAACTGTGTGTGTATGGGGGGCCTAAGAGACCATTTCTTTCAATTAGCAGACAATTATCTTGCATTTAAAATTAATTTAATCAAATTAAGTGTGGCGCCGTCAGTATTCGTTTGTCGTGGTCGATGTGGGCTCGCATAGTGAGGATAGTGAAATCTAGGAGGCTCCGATGGGCTGGACATGTAGCACGCATAGGATGTATGCAAATGGTGCATACAGAATTTTTGTAGGGAATCCTTCTGGAAAACGACCACTGCACAGACCAAGAAGGGGGTGGAAGGATAACATCAAGATGGATCTTGCAGAGGTAGGCCGTGAGGATGTCAAATGGATAGAGTTGGCTCAGAATCTTAGCCGGTGGCGGGCTTTGGTGTTGTCGGTGTTGAACCTGCAGGTTCTGCAACCAGGGAGTTAGTTAGTTAGTTAGTGGTCGGTGTGACTTAAGTCTAAAACTAAATGTAAAATAATCTAAGTGCATGTTTATAAGGCCAGAATCGCACCAGCTCGCTTCTGGGGTCAAAGGTTTTGAGAATCTGATAGTCAGGTCGTCAAACAATGCCCTCATTTTGAAGAATCCGAGGGTTAGTTTCCCCGTTCACAACAGCCCGTCATCTGGCACTATCCTCAGCCACCATTCAAGAGATTACTAGACGATTTTCCAGAAGACAAAGCCGCAACCGAAATTTTCCCAATCCTTAAGGTAGGCTCAACTTGATCTATAAATTTGTAATTTATAAACAAAGTGAGAAGATGACGTACAGGCAGACCTGCGGAGGCAGTACACATCTCTGCATAGTGAGTGACATAGGGTAAGAAAATTAAAGCTTTTTCAGCCTTTGATTAATGCAGCTGTTTCTTTGTTTCAGCCGGAGATTTCGTCAAGTTTGGGTTCACTATGGCAAGCACAACTACGCTGTTGGCGTGGGGTTACTTCTCCTACAGAGATGCTTACGAGTCAGCAGGTAAGTAACGCCTTTCTGACTTATCCCGAGTATAAAAAATGTAACTTATGTCCTTTCATATCTCATATAAACTGGTTTGAACAGATTTAAAGATGGTTTTAATCAGGGTTTAAGCGTCATGGGGTCTGGTAGAAGATTACTTATGTCCACCCTCAACAAGGCGATGAGACACATCACTCATCGCCCAAATGTTGGAGACAGTAAGTACCTCTTAAACGTTTGTAAATGTCTACCAGACAAATGGCGATACAATCCAAAGACAGCAGAATTCTTCAAGCTCACCACGTTGAAAACCTGAAATCCTACTTAACGAGACGTGTTTTCACTGCAGTAATTCACACCGCCTATCAGTAAATAAGTAGAAAAGAGAGACGACACAGTGTTAATAAAACTGACCTTTCTTCGCGAATTGTCGGTTTAGAATATTAGCCACATTACCGAATAGAATGGCTCTGCATTATCGTGGTTTGTGTCAGTTAAACCAGACGAGATCTGAAATAGTAACTTCAAACAGGCTATTATTGCCTCCTTCCAAACATTTTCCCAGTGTCCTTGATGTATTTAACAACCACCTCAACTCGATAGGCAATATCACGTCGAATGAGTGAACAAAACATATGATGAATTGGGAAAGTTTCTCCGACAGATTTGGCTTGCTTCCAGTCATAGAAACCCTATTCGAATGCTTACTTAACAAGAATGTGAAAACTACGTAGCCGCGAATGGTAGTATGTATACCATCAAGCACTAACCTCCCCACCAGATGGAGGTGAATGGTTAAGCTTCAGGCTGTGGCCGCTTTAATCCCGTTACCCATTGGATAGGAGACTAGGTGGGTTCTATTGCGGGTCTGGATGCGGTAAGGAACAGATAAAATGCCTGCCTCTGCCAGAAATCGAACTGCGATCCTCATTTTTATAGTTAGTCATTACAGTGACTGAGCTCATCAGAGAAGGTTTGTCCGTGAAACAGCGTAAATTCGACAGCAGGCCTCTGCACTGTCAGTCTGCACAACCGGGTGTTGATATTGCAGTTGAGGCTGTAGTGGGCCTTGAATTCCGTCACGTCCAGTCAGTATCTTGATAACAATAGTCGCAGTGGCCCCTGCTGTCTCAATTACAGCCCAGCAGGTGGCATGCATTCCAGTCCCTATCATCCCCTTGTGCTTCTTACGTTTCGATCAATTCTTTTTCACTTCAGTTCATGTCTCTTTTTGTGTAATATTTGAGCTAATCAGCTGAGCCGATATCGGGAGTGAGGAAATATTTTGTTATCTTGGTACCACGAACGTTCACAGACTACAAGTCGAGTTACAGTGGCTTCGAATTGTTTAATGACTTGGTTAATTAACGCAGTGAATCAGAAAATATCGGGGAGGAAGCTGTAGGTGGTGAATATTTAAAATATTATTTCTCCATTCATGATAAACTGAGGAAAACCACACAGAGATGACTACTGAAACAGACGAAATTCAAAACTGGCACCGGTATCGTATAAACCGGCTCTGTCAACCCACCGGGGTTTAAAAATCAAAGTTGTTAATTAATAAGGTCGGTGAAACTTATAGTAACCACACTCCTTTGCAAGATTAATGCAACAATTCTGGTGATAAAAATACTAACATCTATACTGACTTTGTGTTATAAGTGAAAATTAAACTGATGGAATGGATTTATTGAAAACTGTAGTCATAACAACACCCGGGACATGACAAAGAACGGAAATAAGTGCTCTTTCAGGAAGAAATGTACGAAAGCAGGGTTTCAGCCATATCACCGATTTTACAGACAAAAATTATGTACGATGTAGAACGATGTTGTCCCTGGTATTAATTAAGCACCGTTCCATAAAGACGTATGAAAGGATGGACGTGCAGCTCCACACACTGAAATGCAATGGACTTTAATACTCATTTAATCGCTACGTACGCAGTGTGAATAGCCTGTAGGCCTCAATTTTATCGCTAGTTCCTGGTTTCATAAAGATTCCGACATTCATAATGGTTAAATTATCATACAAAACAGGTTTTACTTTTATATCTATCTCATATATTAGGCCTTCCAAATGGGTTTTATTTCTCCTAAACCTGAATGTAGATACAAGTATAAATGTCAAACAATCAGGTATGTAGGATTGCTTTGTAGCTATTACCAACGGCATACCGTCACGTGGGCACTGTCTGGCAACCGCAGACTGACCAACTAGCGATATATGCATATACAGTCCGAGTGTGAGATGTGTACAGACAAAATACGTTATGAAAGATCTCCGGGAATTCACATCAGTCGAAATATAGTAGACAGACGGGAATAAAGGCTGGCGTGCTCGTTAAAACAGACCTGATTAAATAAAGTTCATCCAAAATTCATATCTGCGAACGTATGACAGAATAATAAAGAAGCATAAGCATGCCAAAAAAATTACCAGAAACTCGACTGGAATATGGATCCAAGGTTAAAATAATTGAAGAAAATAGAACAAAAACCATCTGAGTCAAGTATGACATAACCTGCGTCGTAAGACAGACCGATTATAAAACGATGAAAACAAACATTATAATGATAGAACAACTAAATCCCATCTCAGGAACATAATGACTTGAATAGATTCATTACTCATATATTATGGAAAGGCGTTTAACAAAGTAACAAGATCAAAACGTGGCATGGCCTATGAAAGAGAATTTCGAAGCAACTTTCATAAATACAATGCGCAGCTTATGTTACAACAGTAAAATACAAATAACAATAACAATATAAACGGTGTGTCAGAAACAAAGTAGCATAATACGTAATTCACTAGTTCCTTTTAATACCGTGTTGATGATAACCAGGACAAGCCAAGTACGCGTTGGACGCCATCAAGTGGGCAGCGGATTACTTCATCAAATGTCACGTGAGTCCTAACGAGCTGTACGGGCAAGTGGGGGACTTCAACCTCGATCACGCTTTTTGGGGTCGACCTGAGGACCTCAACATGTCAAGACCAGCCTACAAGATCGATGCTCAACACCCAGGTGAGCAGACATTCTCCCAAGACATCCCATAACGTCATTATGTTTTAGTCGACATTTTAAAGATGGAAACCTAACCTAAAATATTTTAAAATGTGGTTCTGACCTCCAATAAAACACACCTCATCGCCATTACAAATGTAAGTATTTTAATGATTTATAAGAAAAATGTCGGTTCTTTGTTCTGAGAATTAAATGAAGCAGAAGACATTCCTTACCTTTTATGTGATATGACGTGAAGTGTTATGAACGTAGGAACAGACAATATGCATAATAACCACTGACCTGTAAATGGCTGAAGCCTTAAAAGAAATGCGACATATAATTTATTACTGGGATTAAGAAGGGGCAACCGCCCTACATGTTAGTAATAAAAGGGAGGCTTGTTGTTCCAAACAAGTTTGTACAGACCTATTAACCAATATTTTTTTTACAAATTTAGGCATTAGTAAGATATTGACACTTATTTTGCTTAATGATATTTCAGTACAAGGTTTAATTTCTATTGTTACAATTTGTATGCATCCTGCTTAGTGTTATTTAGTAATTTTTGACGGTTTTAATTAAGCACACAGCGAATGGCACGACTAACACTTATGGTGAAAAAGCGTGTTTTCTGAAATCAGGTAACTATTAATAACAATTATTCGTCAAACAGGGTGAAAGAATATTGCAAGAAATGTACAGTGGTCGCAAGAGACACATCGGCGGGCAGAGGGTTGAGAATCCCACTCTAAGGTACAGAGATCCGAAACAGCAAAATCAACATTATGCTACGGTGTGAAGTTTCCAGACGCTGTAGTGTGATTTGCTTCTATCCCCTCAAAACAGTTAAAATTAAGCCTGTCACGACCCAGCACCTGTCATTACCTAATATTCCGTTGTTGTCACCGCAGGTGTATGCAGTTACATAAGGTACATGTGTGTGTAATTATTGCAGTATTCTAAAATATAGTTATGCAGCAAACAAGAATCTTGAAAATATGGCTGTTTGAAGACAAGTGGCATATGGATATTTTAAGAAACTGAAGAACGAATCCATAAATTTAATTTGTATTGTTATGGAGACTTGTCGGCACACCTAGTCGTTCAGAAATGAAGACCGAGAATAACGTATTTGAGATTAGAATTTTTTTACTGATAAATAATCGATGAAACGTCGGTGAATGTACAGATCACCCCCGCCCAACAACCCAGAAAGATAGCCATCTTTATACTCGCTGCAGTGAGAATGTCAGATCTCTTAACATACACTTACTTTTCTGCTTTTATCTACAAATCAATTTCTAATGACATAAATTCGCCCAATCCTCTTTCTCTAGCAAAATTTTCCAAAGAACTACGATCTTCCAGTACCAACTCTCTACTTTTTGGTGAATTTGATCCACCGTCCATTTTAAGCATCGCCCGATTTCCATCATCACTCCGCCTGAGCGATTCTTTGTTCAGCAAGGATTCGAAGCCTTACAACTGAGAGATGTGTCCTTGTTTTATTAAACTCAGCGACGTACGAAGAACGGTTAACTTAAAAGTACATAAACATGGTAATAATAATTAAATGACGGGACCCAAACACAATAATGGTTGTCTCGACTACTGCACGGAACAGATCCAGTGTGTTAATTGCAATAATGAAAGTGAACCGCAAATCTTTGATACAATTCGCGGAAGACGAGCTTTGTATTGCATAATTCCCCGAACAGAACAAACCATCAAGTGCCCATGTCCTACGGCAATGTAAAACAACGCAGGATTTTCTTACAGTCAAGCAAAATACAGTAGACCCTAATACCATGTCGTTACTGCAGTAATTTTGGACTTAACTATGCTGCAGAATAGAATCTGCATTAGGACTATAATGTTATAATGTATGTTCGTACAGAACTCTGTAATTACAACGGTCAGTTTTGTCTGTATTTTCCGCGTCTAGAACACTGACAAGGACAACGAAGGACAAGTGCCCCCTGAAGAGATGTAAGATACTTTCCCACTGTACGTGCCACTCCAAACGAATAAAAAGTTTAATAAACTACGTTATAGAATGAAACAAACCATAAAATAAATAAATTGAGAACACATCCCTGTTAATAACGTGGGAAATGTGTGAAAATTTTATTTATGGAAGTAATAATCCGTTATAAAGATGGAAAATATTTTTGTCTTGATATTTTTTGCTCTGAATTAACCAAAATACGGGAACTAAAATAAACATCAACATCGGAGTGTTTCATACGTCTGCTAATACAGAGAGTCACGCCTACACTGGATTGTCTCGTAGTCACATTAATTTGGGGCGAAACTTCCTATCTTTAGTGAAATAAGTCAACTACAAGACCGCCGGCGTCAAATCGTGTGAGATGTCTCTAGTGGAATGAAGCGCCACTACTTCGAGGACAAGGGATGAGGGTGCCCCATTAATAATACGAGGGGGGGACCCGTGTTCTGTTACAGGTTCAGATCTAGCCGGAGAGACTGCTGCGGCATTAGCTGCAGTATCTTTGGTGTTTCGCGATGTGAACCCTGGGTATTCCAGCAAGTGTCTAGATCACGCCAAGCAGCTCTACCGCTTCGCCAGCCAGTTCCGGGGTCTCTACCACGAGGCCATCAAGGGAGCGGCGCAGTACTACGAGTGAGTGCACTGTGTAATTCGGTCTCCATCTTCAGCACGTGTTAGACCTCCAGTACTTTTCCGCCCATTTTCCTTCTCTTTGAAAATTAGTGTCATAGCTCAGACAGTACATGATCAGGCTACCAGCTGGACGATCAAAGTTACTTTCAAGGCAGGAGCAGGAAATCTTATACACGCCCCCAACGTTCAGCCACCATTGAATTATTTACTTAATATCTTATTCTCCGTGGAGGAAATGGGACGAATTTACCTTTACCTTCACAAGGAGACGTAAGCTTCCGGCACCATGTTTCTGAGTCTAACAACTTTTGAAACAATTGACGTATTCTTCATTAAACATGATGTGGCCAGTCTTCCTATATAATAAGATCAGTAAACTATGTAAGTGTTAAGACGTAATATCCCGTATCATCTAAGCGCGCATAAAAGGCAAGTAGGGTCATTAATTTTGCTTACAACTTTTCTATTCTTTGTTAAACACGCCGTATTAAGACATTGATATAGCTTATTTAAAACAGTGATTCTCAGTTATCTAGAACAAGAGTTCCCTGACGTTGGGTAACGACATTTTGATGGGTCGCGTTGCGAATGTTTTACAGCTGACATTTTGTATTCATTTCTTATATTTTTCATGTTTGCTCCAACCCTCGTTGATGAAACCCTGCCTGGCTGTTATATTTTTATTACGAAGACATATAGCGTAGAATATGAAGCATTATTACAGGGTAGAAAATGAAATATTTCGCAGATCGACGGACTACGGTGACGAGTTGACGTGGGCTGCGTCATGGCTGTACAGGGCGACGGATGACCCCCAGTACCTGGACGAAGCGGAACATCACTACATGAAATTCCGGCTTAAAGAGCGGCCCAATGAGTTCTTCTACAACAAAAAAGTGGCCGGTGTTCAGGTATGATGCCGCAAACTCTACAACAGCCAGCGTGCTGTGGTACAAGAATTAAATTAGAACCAGGCCCACCCCCGTACAACAGACTCTCCCAACTTCCCGCGTAGAACTCGAGTGAAGGTCATCCTATTTGCTAGGCCGCTGCTCATGCCAATTGCGCAAGAGCTGTGCAGGTGCGAACATGGAGTATCCAAGAGCAGAACGTAACTAAAAACTAAAAATAGGACAATACACGTAGGAAAGATGAAATAAGGTGCGGGGCGTAAAACTGGAAAAAGTAAATTCATTGCAAGAAACATTTGTCTCATGCCATTCACTTTAAACAAGTGGAGACCGATGCAAAGCAGAAAGCACAAGCAAATGAAGATGGACGGGAAGTAGTGGAGACGGTTTCCAGAGCCTGTATTGAAGAATTATACAACGACCCTTTCAGTATAATCGCACAGCGAATGTAAATGGCATATTTGCTGCTTACGTCACGGTTCCTGTTTATAAATTACATCCTGCAGGCAACATCCCCACATGCAGTCGAGTTGTGCCAACTTAAACTAACATAGACAAAACGATGGGCGCAGGTGACACTCGCCGTTCTGGCGCGTCCTGAGGTACGGGATAGAGCTCAGACGGATTTAACAAACAGATCACTGACATTTAACCTGAGCTGAACGGAGCTTAATTTTAACAACATGGAAATAAAATTAACAGATGTTAACTGTGCGGAACCACTCTGCTAGTGCATGTATACTCTTCATTGTTCAAATGTAAGGTACGTTCCATCTCCCGGTATAGAACGGAAGCACCATCAAGTAGCTACAGCATAAGACACTGGGAGTATTGTGGGTTGCAGATCCTACTGGCGCAGCTGACGAGGCAGCCTGAGTACATGGAGGCGGCACAGGCTTTCTGCGACTTCACGGTCAACTACCAGAAGAAGACGCCGAAAGGACTGGTCTACATAGACAAGTTTGGGACCCTGTGCCATGCCGCGAACGTCGCATTCGTGTGTCTGCAGGTGCTAATACCACTCTTACTCCAACGTATGGCTTCTGTGCTTTTCTGATATCAAAATTTATGTTTAAAGTTTATGATTCCGTACTGGAAAGGATGAGAAATTATAGAGACATAACTCTACGGCGTTATGTCTGCCCTGGCTAGTAGACAGACCTAACTGCATCTCACCAGGAGATCTTTGCAGTTATGGATTTCGAAACTTCATAAACATCGTGATAAATGCTCTCCTTTAGACAATATTCTGGGACAGTTCACATCTTCCTTTAAGAGCCTCTTTAATATTTTGTTTTCATGTATCTGCATATATAAAAATATGGATCTCCCACGTAAAATTCGAAATCCGTTGACTGATTCCGGAGGTCAAAGTTGCTGTCGGACGGTCAGACAGAACCTCTCAATTATCCAGTCATTTCAAAACTTTATTAAAAAAATTAAAATCTAGTGTACAAAACAGTCTTCTGTTATTGATATACCACCCGAATATACATTTTTCTGTAAACGTTACAATAAGCCTCTTCCAGATCTTTACCAAGTAACTATAGCAGCCATCACCAAACTGCATGCTTCAAGGCCACGAAAGGACTTCACATCCCTTTACCGCGCGGCTCAATAGCACGACCTAGCGAGCTTTGCTACGATGAGAGCTCTGAGCTATCTTCATTCGCCTCGGCTCTGATGTTCGTGTTGCAACGGTGTGCAGTTTTGTTGCAATCCTGAAGCATGCAATTCGGCGACAGGTTCAGCGATTGCCGTGCGGCACTGTCACCGGTAACGCGTTGCTATGTTTGCTACTCTACGAATTCTGAGCTGTCTTCACTCGTCTGCAATTCGTGTTGCAACACTTCACGATTTTGATGTGACCTTGAGACATGTAATTTGGTGTTTGCTATTATAGTTCTTACTACCATACAACAATGTCTTCTCACGGTATTCTCTCGTCGGTACGAAATTTCAGGCGGCTGACGCGGGAATCTCGCCGTCCAGGTACCGCGAGTTCGCTCGCCGACAGATCGACTACATGCTGGGCGATTCAGGGCGGAGTTTCGTGGTGGGATTTGGTTATAATTACCCGAGGCAGCCACACCATGCTGCCAGGTAAGACTTGCATAGACACGACCTAAACTAGCCTTATTTTTCATCTTCCTCTGGACACATTTTCCTCATCACTATTTCCGTGGCTGGCTTCGGTCAGTATCGTCAGTGTTTTATTCGTGGGCACTTGGGCTATGGGACCCACCCAGTCTCCTATCCAGTAGGTGCCGGAAGGTTTGCGCCAAAAGGTGACGTGGTGGTGACATGTTGCAGCTCCTGCCCGACACGACCTGCGCCGTGTGGTTGGGATGCCTTCGGCTGGCCTCGGGATAATCCCCAGCTTCTTCAGGGTGCTCTCGTAAGCGGACCCGACGAGAACGACCACTACATGGATAATCGCGAAGAATACGTGTACAACGAAGTGACCCTCGATTACAACGCTGGCTTCCAGTCTGCTGTTGCAGGGCTACGGCATCTCCAGCTGGAAGTCTTCGAAAATAATAGGGCATAGATATTGGACTGGAGACCGTGTCTGCCTTCTTGGAGTGTACTTGAATTCAAGTCATATCTAAATATATTTACACTTAGGAAAGCTAGCCACGTCATTCCATCACGCTACTTCTTTCTGTACAACAGGGATGATGAAGCTTACTGCTTGCCGGTGCCATGACAGAAGTTCTCGGAACTTGGAAGTAGTATAGAAAGACGTCTGTTAGAATACGTTTTAGCCAGTTCTTTCTTTTCGTTAAATGCTTTCTCAAGTCAACAAATTTTTAATAATATTCGTGTCAGTCAATGCTGGCTGTTAACGTGAGGAGTGGCGTAATTTCATTGAGCAGAAGCCGTTCTATTCATTCTTGACTATGCAGTAAATTTACCACATTAACAAAACACGATTTCACTATTACTTTAATATACGGCTATTGAAAACTATTTTTTAAAAAAATTGTGTACGAATACTGAATGATAATTCACCTGAATGTGTTACGTATGTAAATAAAGTCCATGAAGCTGCGAGATCATTTTATCCTGAGGTAAATGTAACTCTCAATTTAGGGTGATCAATAATCGCTCAATTCGGACTGATGGTGACGCCGGCCAAATGTCAGTTATTCGCCATAACAACTGGACTTAACCTAATGTGTTTATAATAAACTGCATGTTACAAATAACTTTTTTGAAAATAAATCTGAATGCAGTCCACACGTTCATGAACATCGATAACAGACATTTGATCAGTCCAAAAAGGGCACGTCTGACAATTATCTGCCATTATTTAGTGATTTTACTTTGAACATCCTCTAACCTGTGTGTTAGAGGTATAACAAAATATGGCAGAAGTAACTTCATCTTCATTCTAATTCAATAATTTGTAAATGCTATTTTAAAATGAATCAGTAAAGAATGAGTTAGTAGAAAAGGCAACTTATGTACCATAACTAATTTATTCTCCAAGTTTTAAAATATGTACTTACTTTCAAGTTATTCAATTCATGTGGACTCTTCTTTTATTCTATATAGGAGGCTGTGATCAGTGAAAAGTTTTGCAACTGAATAAAAATTACTGTTAAAAAAGGACTTAAAACTGTGCTATATTATCAAAGTTCTCATTAATGAGACGATATAAAGACACTTCTAATTCATACACTGACACTAAACTGAGATTTATGTGAATACAGGCAGTAGTAATTGACCGGTTAGTTTCTTAATGCATCGTATATAAAATGACTTTACAAGAATTAAGGATGAGTGACTGTGAGAAACTTTTGAAAATGTACGAAATTTTAGAATGGACGGGGGGTGTATCAGGAAGCTGTGACGTGCGTGAACAGACTAAAAGGCTAAATGGTATAATCAACTAACTGGCCGTGATTTTATGTGACATGTAACCGTGATGTTTGTTGAACAGATTTCTGAAGTGAAAGATAAAACACTGCTTGCCATAATAACAAAAGAAGAGGCTTGGTGCTAAACACAGCGCAACAATCATATGTACATAAGTGGCGTGTATTATAGCAGCTGGCGAATGATGGAACATGTAAATAAGTGGTAATGTAAAGAACTGTTCTCACTCTTTCTTTAGTTTTATCACAATGACCGTCATACGCGTGTGTTTGTGTACATATAATTTTTCAGAGCCAATGGTTCAAAATAATAATAATAATAATAATCATTGTTGAATGTATAAAAACGTGAGATTTGATGTTCTCTCGGCAGCGAATATGAATATTGCTGTCTTCCGAGCTGTTGCGCCATGCCGTCTGGTTGACATTTACCCGCGTTTCACTTGTGCTTGCTGCCTCCATCATCAGGGCGATCGCCTCTGAAATGTCGGTAAACTTTTATCGGACTACATAGCGCAATAATCGAGAAGACAGCCATCTTCGTTTAAAACATGATGGTATTAAACACTCAAGATAAACAGCTAACAAAGCCAACAAGTTGCCATAGTGACACTTGTCCTTTCTTTACCCATAGAATGTGAGTAATCCTTTGTAATTTCAGTAATGAAAAATTTAAACAATATGTTATATCTCTACATTTGTACAATACAATTAATCTATGTAAACGTTTTAATGTGTTTAGTAAAGTAACGCAGCAGCAATATTCTCGAATTGTGGTAAAACGGAGGGGGTGCCGACTTAATTCTGACCCGGCTCACACGTGTCCAATATTTTGTTTGAAAAGCATTAAATGAGGGAAGTCAAACCCGGGCAGCCAGGACTACGTCATCAGTCTCAGTGAGCAGTCCGAGCTTATGTAGGGCAGTTCCTGATCTGGTACGATGGTCTGTGAATGGCACGGCATTTAAAATAAACGAAAGTTCTTGGGACAATAAACCGAAGAGAACCTAAATGCCAAAAACAGCTACTCCACCCTTGGAATCTTGGAGTTCATTACAATCTCAAGCACTTAACAGACTCGTTAAAATATTTCACATGCTTGTCATCAGTATTTCATCCACATTTTTTGACTTCTTTCCTCCATATTTAACCTTCTCCAATAACAGCAAATGTATATTATTTTTTCAACAAGCCAATGCAGAACATCATCATTACTGCATACTTAATTCATGCATAGGTAAACGATATTTATCGTATATTGGAAGTATTGACATTATAAGGCAATGTATATTTACAATTAAACAAATCTGTGAACTTTAATACGTTTACCAGATCAAATAAATATTTTTCTGCAATAATGTTCGAAGTAAATAAGATTTAAAAATACGGTGTGTGGTACAGAATTGTAAACGCGTTCCATTCAACAAGTGCAACCCTGAAGATGACATACTGTTAAATATTAGATTATCGTTATTACAGTATTCACACATGAAAAATCTATTGTCCTTGAATGCAGCGAAATCATAATGTACTTTAATTTACTACCTAAACAACACTGCAGAATACCAACACCGACAAGCAAGAAGTTTGTTTACAAATTACATAATTTATATTTCTAAGTAACAGTTTAATTAGAGCTCGTTGGTATTATTATTTAGTGTTCTGTCTGACGACAGGTCCATATGAACAGGATCCTTCCATCCTTTTCTCGGACTGGGACCTGTTCATATACGTTCTTGGCAGATGATCCAGAAGTGGTTTGCCATTGCCTTCTTCTGTGTGTGAATGGAGTAATTGTTGGGATGCCACGGAGAAACCGGGGAAGCCCCCGGAGGAAAACTCCGTGTTGCCTAGACCACGGCCTTGCCCAACACAAGTTATAAATTCGGGCACCGCCGGGAATCGAACCTGAGACCCCAGGATTACAAGGCCAGCGTTATAACCGCTAGACCACCGTGGCTATCTCGTTGGTATATTACACCATTAATCATAATACTTTATTATTAAGTCTCATTGTGACACGACGTTTAAGAAGACTGTCACTGAATTTCATTCCTTCTACCAATCCGTGACGTGCACCGGGCGTCGGCATAGTAAAATACATTGCAATAATACAAACGTTTTCCACAATGTTCCTGACATGCATTACGGTTCTGGTTACAGCCACACTGTTGACCTCATTCGACTTCCGGGTCACAGTGTTCTAAAATTGCAAATTCATCCTGATCATGAAAGGTCGAGGAGGTGATATCAGGAAATTACGTAGTCTTAACCTCACACCGGAAAGCGTGATGCAATTTACAAGAAACTGTAAGATTCAGAATCCATCCTCAACGAAGTGTATCTTCCAGATGCACTGCAAACGGCATTACTTTGTGCACAGATGCTTTAACGTCAATTCTATCAGACCCATAAAATTTGTCGGTTTCATTCTTATAATAAAACATTGTCGCCAGCAGTGCATCGTTAAACAGAGGAAACAAAGATCTGATAGCAGCAGATGTTAAAATTACAATTACGGCCACTTAATTACTGTTTTAAAATTATCCATCGTGGTTTTAAACAAGAGTTAATTTGTTGATCAATTAATACATATGACTCTACCCTGCCCTGTGTGTGCACCGGTATCCTCTTTTCTCAGCTCCTCTGACCAGCAACGGTGTGATGATGGGGGAAATTATGGAATCTGTAACGGTTACGAACACTAGCAGCGGAAACCCGCTTGGCCTGCCTCACGAACTATCTTCCGGAGGAAGAATTGCATGGCATGACCATGACCGCTATTTGTGTGTGCTTAATTGTATGCCACGGAGGTACGAAGAGGAGACACAGACAAATGTCTTTTTTCCTATCACAAACAGCGAGATTTATTATACTTCTCACACAAAAAGGAAACGGACAGTTGTGTACTCTTGTACGGACAATTATTTCTGATTAACTTGTAAACACAGCCCATTGAGAGGAAAAAAAATCCTACATCTTTTTTTAGGCTCGTTAGCAACAAAACTGCAGTGTTACACAAGGCCTTCAGCCGTAGTGTCTAGTTGCGATTGATAATTTCCTGAGTCATCAGAGTGTGTAACGTCTGCCTGTTAAGTGCCAAAGCTGTCAGTCCTGTTATTTGTAATATTATCAATCCAGCTTCGTGTAAAGAACAAACGGAAACATGCATAATGAAGTGGGTCATGGCGATTGTACAAAACTGACTGCCATTTCCTTTTCAACGCCGCAGTGTCATTAACAGACTGCTTAAAAGAGTTACAATCAGGTGCAGACATTTATAGGAAGACTTCCATACAGAAATGAGTTTTAAATATGAAAGACTTAGATTTTAGGGAACTTCCCCTTTCAATTAAAATGGATTTAAATTAGCCTCTGACGGGTCCATATTCCAGCCATCAGATGACATGTGAATCAACACAGAGTAGACGTGGATTTATATTGACGGGGGAAAACCAAAGAACTCATAAAACCATCCCAGTGCCACTTTGGACACTACAAATTCTGCAAGGACTACCCTGAGGATGAACCCGGGCCTCCAAAGTGAAAAGACAGCTACTAATCGCTTGAGCTGTGGAACAGTCACAAGAACGTGAATATTACAGGCCAAAACAACGACACGAGAAATATCATTAGACATCACGAAGGAAATAGATGTCAGCGTATTCATTCGTCAAGTCTCATCAGGGGTGTAAGAAAAAATCATATCAATAATTACCTCATCCTAAGTCAAAATTACAGATTGAAAATATCTGAGACCAAAACACTGAAAAATTATTGGTCGTGAGAGAAATTCAGTAATAGGAAAATGGAGAAAGTAACACAGTTAAGAGCTCCATAATTTGTAATATTCGCCAATTATTATCACTATTATTATTATTCCATCTATTCACCATTTTACAGGGTATTTACTTCTGTGTACCCGAGACAAACCTTGTCCCTGAGGTACATAGTGCAGCAGCTATTTCTGAAATACATTTTGTTTTCAATACGTGTTACATGTATTACATAGATTTTTGTGAGGCATAACTATATATACTACATATTTTACATCAGCGTCTTTCGAATGATGTACGATGATCCTAGATGGCGGTTTTCTGAAGTTCCCTAACGTCGTGTTCGCCCGGGATGTTGGCCAAATATGTTTTGCGTGACTTGGAGACAGTTCCAGTTGCTCCTATAATTATTCGGATTACTTTTGCTTTCACTTTCCACATTCGTTGTACTTCAATAAGAAGGTCCTTGTACTTCAAAATCTTCTCGGCTTCCTACTTAATTACATTTCTGTCAGTTATTATTATTTACCAACCAACCCTCAATGGGACGTCTCCATTGAGTTACATCCATGGTTGTCTTTCGCAACCCAGTCGGGATTCGAAACGCGTTCAAAGCTTACCACCACATCAACCTTATCGGTTTTTACATGCCTAAACACACTATGAGGTATGCACATAAGACGGGGTCAAAGACCTCAAGCTGCGCTTTGGTACTAGAGTGGTAACGAACTCACCACACAACTCAGAGCGTCACATACTTGGACTGAATGTACTTACAATAAAACGGTACTGGTGTCCGTGGGAGTAAGCCAAATAAGTTTCACCTGAGTAGTGTCTTTGTGGTGCTACAGGGCAGGTAAGAGGCTGATGATGAATGCTGGATAAGACACACACGCAAAGTTCCGCGAGGAACATCTGATGCCACGATTATTAAGTATTTGCACACAGACCAAAGGAATATACAAACGTGTGTATTACTCTGGGCGTTTGTTCATCACGCCTTCATCTTTACGAACTTTCGGCTGAAATTAAGATTTGAAAATGAACACAGTCATAACTGTTAATGCATATTAGAATAAGACAATGGAATAAAACTGTAAAACATTGGCGAAGAGTTATGCATTCGAATCTCTGACAATTCGATTAATATTGTTCTGCATTTCGTATATTTGGAAAATTTAAGTTTCTAGATAAATACGGCAAAGGGCAAAAATGTTTGTTTGCATCAGTGTCTCTAAGAGAACGATTACTACTACCCATATCAGCCACAGGATGTTCTAAGATATGAAAATTCAAACATCATCCATTACAGAGTAAGTTAGAGAGAAAATTGTCAGGGAACAAAATGTTTATTTTTATTAGCCTGTTCCGTAAAAAAAGGGGAAATATGTTAATGTTGAAACGATGAAGAATGGAAGTACGATATAAACCATCCTCAGTTTAATTTCAAAAGGCCTTTCCCACTACTGTTGTTACATTAGCCAAGTAACCAAGCAACTACCAGCTGATAAAATACGGTGCCACTGGAAACAACGTAACTGTTCGTTGTAAACTACGCACCAGCTTCCTTGCGAGGGTTTACTCCTCCATACGACCAGAATATAGATCAAGCACAACGCAATTTACACGGACACCGTATATATTTAGCGCGTTAGAGCAATTACTAACATTACGTAATAAACAATGCCACGTGTTATGCTGCGTCATGCTGACGCTTACAGATGCCTATAGATGCACATAATAAACAATAATTTTGTTGACCGTATCATCACGCCATCTGTTGTCCTATATATCCTATCCCATGGCTAATGGGAAAGGTTTTTAATCAAAACAGAGTTTTGAGAAGAATATTGGACTTACAACATGAATATGGAATGGAGAAAAATACACGATGAGAAGCTCCGTAACCAAATACAAAGTCTGACAATAAAATAACGGAGCTGATATTCTGTGTAGCTCCTCTGAAGACTGGCGAGATTATGCGCAT